ATTTGCAATTGGTTAAGCAGTAGATGGAGGCAGCAATGGAGCTAGTTACAGCAGTGAAGGAGGCAAGTGGACAGTTACAAGACACAGAGTCCAGTTTGGGTTTACTTGTGTCTAGGAAGGGTGGAGTTTGAAAGCGTTTATCTGATTCCAGATGGATATCTGGCCCTCACTCCTGAGAACCCGGTGTGGAGGGAGGGAGGCTGCCACAAGCTGCATTTGGCTGCTTTCTGAGGCAGCCAATAGTCAGTTCCTGGGAAAGGCTTTACTGGGAGGGTGATGGTATCAGGCATCTGTGTCCTGCAAGGGAGTAATCAGAACACACCAGTGTCATCCAAATGGGGCAGGCCCAGTATTACTGGGGACTCTGAGATGGGCATCCCTGGAGCTCTTTGCATGAGCCATACACAGAAAATATTATTTATGATCTCCGAATTAATGGGTCCTTTCTCCATGCTGCTAGGACATGTATGAGCTTGTCTTTTTTTTTTTTTTTTAATTTTAATGTTTGAAATTGTATTGCTCCCATAAAGGGCAATTTAAACCAGGCAGTGATTGTGTGTGTGTGTGTGTGTGTGTGTGTGTGTGTGTGTGTGTGTGTGTATTCTTAAAGTACTTTTTCCTACCAGTGATTTCTCTCAGGCAGAGGGTCCACGCTATTCAAGAACTACAGATGTGATGTCGTCACCTATTGCCATTCTTTAGTCTCCTTTGTGAGACCAGTTCCACAACAGAAAACTAGCATTTCCCCAAAGGAAATTACACATCACATGGACAGGGTATACCTGTTTCAATCTCTTTTTATGTGGTTTATTGCCAGTGTATGAGTTTCTGGGACAGAGATGAAATTTCTGGGCAACAGCCTCACTGGAATGTCAAAGATATTTTTCTATTTCTTTCTTTTTGTTCTATTTTTTCCTCCAATTTACATAACCTCCATGTTCTCCTCTTGGATGGGAAGGGCTGGGGCCAGAGAACTAGGAAACCGATGGTTTCTTTCCCACAGTCCTTTCGGTAATTATCCACACAAAGTAGTGCTGTATAAGCCACTGAGCCCACGTGACTCTGAGAGCCCTCAGCTGTGAACAAATCGGCTTCACTGTTTACCAGCTTTGTCACCTTTTGACAAGTTCCTTGGTAAGTCATCCGAAAAACAGCAGTGGAGGTGGTGCCTGCCTCCAGGGTACTGTGAGATTAAACGAGAGAGAGAGAGAGAGAGAGAGAGAGAGAGAGAGAGAGAGAGAGAATGTAGATAAAAGCCTGGTAAAATGCCTGACACCCAGAGCTTGGCTACTGTCACCTTTCAGAGCGTAAAAATTATGCTGCTTGGCTCACTTTGAGAATTTTCTAAAACTTTAAATTATCAGAAAATGAACACTCTGGACAAGTGTGACAAAGGGGGAGGTGACTGATGAGGGAAGGTTTTACAGAGAATGATCTGAATGGAGGAGCCTTTACCTCCTGTCACTGGAGCTCTGACCTAGCCAGTGATTGAACCTCTCTGGCCCCATTTCCCCATGTCTGGATACACATAGCAATTGCTCTATAGAGCTAACGGAAATGAAGGGCTGTATGTCAAGGACTCAGCATTCGATATGTTCTCAGCGTCAGTTTCTTGCTATGTTTTCTAAGGAAATTCTCGTTTTAACACAGACACGAGCCTGCATGCTCAAAGAACTCAGTGACACACAGCCAGGACAGCTCTCCCTCCAGCATCTCCTGAACCACTGTCAGAAAGAAGTTCTGAGGGCTTGAAAACGTGATTCTACCCTACAGCTGACTAAAACGACATCTTGAGAGGGGGGTGGGCAGGGTGGTGCTCACAGGAGTTGAATGAGAACAGCTTTCCTCAGGTTTGTCCTGGATTTGGAAAGGAAACCTCTGTCATCCACCTAGCAAGCTGTATACAATGTCCAGAGTAAAACTTCACAGACACAGGCACTTCGTATTTAAATGAAAATACAGCCTGGAAAGGCTGTTTTCTGAATTTTGACAGGGTAGCATCAAAGCATCAACCTTAACCTTTGTGTTCAAATAAGCTACAGACAAAGAGACCTTGTTCTCCATGCATGAGTAGTTTGCAAACCTTGTCTTTAAAGCATTAGAATATCTCCAAAGGGATCACACCAGTGGGCTAAAAGTCTGTTTTGTTGCAACTCATAGTAGATGCGTGTTTAATGGTCCTTTAACGTTTAGTGGCCCTTTAACAAGCGGAGACTCGGTTCTTTCATATTTAAAAACTACCTGTATGGAGGTGCTGCTGGTGTTAGGCTCAGTAGTTCATCCCCAGCATCTCTGTCACGCATGCAGCCTGTGCCCAGTGGGCGGAGTCAGCTCTTACAAGGACTGCTACGATGTCCAGCTTCAAGACAGAAGTGGTGTTCCACTGACAGCAGCAACAGAATAATTAGCTAAACTGGTAAAACAGTTAGCAATAAATTTAACCAAAGAGGTGAAGGATCTCTACAATGAAAAGTTTTAAAGTGAAGCCAAATAGAAAAACAATACCTGCACATGGATGAAAAGAATTAACACAAAAATGTCCATGCTGCCGATGATCCGGAGAGTCCATGCACCCCACTCGGTTTCTTCCCAGAGCCGAAAAGAAGCCATTCTAACATTTATAGAGAGCCCCCGCAAACAACAGCAAAACCCTGCATCTCGAAGGCCGGCTCGCACTCAAAAACCGGCTACACTGCCCGGCTGCAGAACAAGCCTGTAATAATCAAAAGAGAAAGCGATTGGCTGGCAAAACTGGATGTTCAAGTATGAGGAAGAATGAAACCACATTCTTACATCTCACCGGCCACAAAATTATCACAGACTGAATTAAAGATTTAAATGTAGCACTTTAAATAGTGAGACTACAAGAACCTGGGGAACACGTCAAGACATTGGAATAGTATGTTTTGGTTTTTTTGTTTGTTTTTCTGTTTAAGACATTTAAAGCACAGAGAACAAAACCAAAAGATGGAAAATGCAGTTCCATCAAACTATAAAAGATTTACGTAGAGGAAAAATAACAGAGTGAGAAAACAAGTTTGCAGAATGGGAGAAAAAGTTTGCAAGCTCTACATTTGAAAAAGGGTTACAGTCAGAAAACTGCATTGCAAAATAAATAACCAGACTTTTAAAACGGGTTATAAACCTATGTAGATAGTTCTAAAAACAAGGAGCAAATTACCAATAGGTATATATGAGAAGGATCAATATGACTAATCACCAAGAGAATGGAAAGCAAAAGTACAGGAAGTGGTCACTTCACTCCAATAAGAGTGGTTGTATCAAAAATCCCAAAGATGACAAGTGTGTGCTGACCAAAATGGAAGAAAAGCATAACCCTCACAGGCTGGTGTGGGTATCACTTAGTACAGATAGTATGATAATCCAGGGTTTTCCCAAGAAGTTAAAAAGAAAGCTATCATATGATCTATCAATGTATACAGATATATAAATAATTCTGTTCTATATATACATATTCTGTTGGATATATATATATATACACATATATATCAGAACTTAGCGTGTTGAAGAAACATTAGCAATCCATGTTCATTGTGGCATCTTATCCCACAGTGAAATAACCAATGTCCATCAACTGGTTAATAAGAAAAATGTGGTATATACAGAAAGGAGTACTGCTCAGCATGAAATCCAGCCCTTTGCAAAAAGATGAATGAAACTGGAAATAATTATGTTAAATGAAACAAAGAGACCCGGGAACTCCAATATCATATGATATGATTCCTGCATAAAATTCTAAAACATTGACTTCTTAGAAGACAAGAATAGAATGGTGGATACCAGAAGTTGTGAAGATTTGGAAGGAGGAGGCAGTGGAGAGGCTGATGAACTGTGCCCAGTTATGGCTGGGTAGGAGCAAGATGTCTGTATGCCAGTGAGGGTAGGTGACATTCACCTAGAAAAAAGCCAGAAGTAGCCAGGCAGTGGTGGCCACGCACACCTTTGATCTCAGGGTTTGGGGGCAGAGGCAACCAGATCTCTTAATTCCAGGCCAGCCTGGTCTACAGAGCAAGTTCCAAGAAAAGAAAAGCAAAAAAAAAAAAAAAAAAAAAAGGAAAACAGAAGAAAGGATTGAAAGGATTTAACGTTTTCATCACAAAAGGATGACAAGTGTTTGAAAGAATGTAGACATTTTATTTAAACATTGAGTAGTGTGTGCGTGTATTAAAACATTGCACGGTACCCTGTGAATACTTTACGTCTTTATCGGTTTAATATTAATTTTTAAAAATCCAGCGATGACTTTAATATCTAAAGAGCAAACCGGATCCTATTTCCCCACTTCCTGTGGTCGTTCTTCCTGTGATAATTCTTGATCCCATGAGAAGTGTAACTCATTGCTTCTTGTGGTCGGCTCCCCTTCTCACTGTTACCAGAGTCTGCTTCCTCCACGAGAGTTTCGCAGATCTTTCCAGGCCACCTTAGATCCTCCCAGGCCACCTGCTACCATCTCTACTGCCCCTGCAAATGCCGATTCCAGGCCCTATTTTCCCAAAATGAATAGGTGGACTTTGTGCTAGATTTGATACCAGAAGTAGAATTGTTTTTGTGTTGGTACCACTTCTACTGGGGCTAGGAACAGCAAGATGTTTTCTCGCCTGGAATGTGATGATTCTGCATTATGAGTCCACAAACAAATTATATAACAGACGGGAGAAAAGCCATCTGTTGTTATTGTCAGATCCTTGAGTTAATGGCGGCTGACACAATTTCCACACATAACATTTGCTTCTCTCCCCCTTTTATGAAACCCACGCGAGTTTGTCTGAGCATAGAATACCCCAGGAAGGGTAGCAGACGGAAACCCCGTCCATTGGATGAGTGTGTCCGGTGAATTTGGTTACACCTTAGTGGGAAATCGCCACATCAGATACGGGTGATTTTTCCCAACCCGTGTCCTTTACAAGGAGTTTGGAAAGGAAATAGCAAGGCACGAGTAGAAAACAGGGATCTCTGACGGTGATCTCTTCTTTTTCCAGGTATTTTTGGACAGAAACTGGAAGACACGGTCCGCTATGAAAAGCGGTACGGGAACCGGCTGGCGCCCATGCTGGTGGAACAGTGCGTGGACTTCATCCGACAGCGGGGGCTGAAGGAAGAGGGCCTCTTCCGACTGCCGGGCCAGGCCAACCTGGTCAAGGAGCTCCAGGACGCCTTCGACTGCGGGGAGAAGCCCTCCTTTGACAGGTAGGTTGGGCGCGCCACGGCTTGACCCACTGTCCTTCACGAGACGCTCAGACTGGGCAAAGAGATGCCGTGGCTGCGCCGTGGATGGGCAAAGAGAGGATTATTAAATCTGACTACAGGTTTTTGGATTGATTTCACTACGTAGCAAAGGAAAAACACTGTAGCACTTTCAGTGTCGTTCCCTGCCATTATTTTGCTTCATCTTCAAGGGTTATTTCTCACTCTTCTTGGTACTAGGATTCAAACGATATTACCCTTGTTTGGGGAAAGCAGATCTGCTGTTTGTTTTGTTTTGTTTTGTTTTTGTTTTGTTTTGTCAGTTAAGGGATATTTCAAAAAGTGATTCGTAGAGATACAGATGTTGGCACTGTAACTTAAATTATTTCCACAATAATATTATATTTAGGAATGCGTAGCTCTACCTTAGTTGGGAACGTACTCACAAAGTCACAAGGAGAAGTACAGCAGTGTGAAAAATAGTAAAACTTCCAGGCATGAAGCTATCAGTTATCCTTAAGTCCTTCACCGTTGATATCTTGTGAATAATCTCCTTCTCTCACTTGGAAACTTAATAGAAAAATTACCTTTTATCTTAATGTCGTTTATATTTTGTGGGAGAAACTTTTTACATTCTGAAAGTTGAAACATGCCCCTTTATTCTCACATATTTGAAGATAGGAGACTTTCAAGACAGAAACACAAGCCAAGCCTGCTGCATCATTCATCACTCTTTATTGTCCTAAAGATGATGATCATTCTCAGTGCGGACAACATTTATTGGGCTATATATATCAACAAGAGTGCATTTCCTTACAGTCCTCCTAAAATAATTGAACTCGCTACTATTTTTTAAACAAAAATTTTGTTTTTTTTAAGATTTATTTTTAATTACATATATGCATGTATGTCTGTGTGAGAGAATATAGACATGTGAGTTCAGGTAGATGTGAAGTCCAAAAGATCATGGAGTTGGAATTACAGGAAGCTGTGAGCCACCCCACATGGGTACCACAAATCAAACTCTGGTGTTCTGGGAAAGCGGGATGTGCTCTTCAGTCACCGCCCTAAACAGGAGTTTTATTCCCAGAAGTAAAATAGATACGTGAAAAAATTTTAAATACAAAATTGCTTATTATAGATTTTCTTGTAATAGTAAATCTGTACCCCCACAGATGATTAATGAAATACTGATTCATTTGACACAATAAAATATGTAGATCTTAAAACCTGAAGGAAATGTTAGTTTTATGTTAAAATACTTCGTTGAGTTTCTGCCGCTACAATGTCTGGGATAACCGACTTCAAAGGAAGGCAGACTTGGCTCTCACACCACGGAGGTGTCAGTCTGTGAGGGGTTGATGCTTCCTAAGCCTGAGAGAGGATCATGTGGTGATGGGGAGGGCAGCCTGGTACACAGCTGTCCACCTCACAGCGAGAATGAGCTGCCCCTTGCACAGGCATTCTCCAAATGATGATTTCCCCCCAGACCTGCCTTCCAAAGTTTCCACGGCCTCCAAATAAGGACAAGCCAGAGCATTTGGGGGCATGTGTATCCAGTTAGCAAAAGTAGCACAGATTAGCAAACGGGAAAGTGAATCAAGATCAGTTATTTGACTGGAATCCTTCCTTTTCACGAAGGCCTCATAGATAACCTATAAAACTTTACGGGGAATATTAAGTGTGAAGATAACTAAATGATTGCAAAACTAGCATCAGAGGACAGATTTCAAGACTGCCCATGTGCTGTGTCTAGGACAACCTGTGTCTTCCTCTGTATTCTGAAGATAAGCAGCAGTTACATAGAGAGCGATAGCCATGCCATAAAATAGCCCTTCAGCTAGAGAAAATGTACAATTTTAGCGTTGAATCACAGAGGAATCTGCCATAGAAGAATGTTGCATGATGGGAAAAAACAACTCCCTCTGTAATGGACCTCACAGAACAACAATAAATTTTATATCCCTTTCAAATGTTTTTTATAAGGGCTTCACATGCATAGGCTGGTAAGAATGTAGTATGTTTTTGGAACTAATACTGCCATGACCTGAGGATTAATATTATTTGTCAACCTGATGGTATTAGAATCACAATGGAAACAAAGCTCTGGACATGTAAGTGAGTTAGTTTGTAGATAAGGTTAACTGGGGGTGGTAGGAGAGGGAAGAAGACATACCCAAAGTGTGGGTGATGTCATTGGCATGGCCAGGGATCCCAGCCTAAATGACAAGGAGAAAGCAAGCTACTTCCTGACTGTGGACAGAACGTGACCTAGTATGTCATGATTCTGCCCCACTCCATCTTGTCCACGATAGACAGTACCCACAAACTGTGAACCCATATATGTCCTTCCTCTAGTATAATTCATTGGCATTTTGTTGCAGCCAAAGAAAAATAGCTAATGCATGGGCTCTTGTCATTTAGATCTTGCAGCAAATCTTTGCTAATATGGGAGACTGGAGGGATGTTTTTATAGAATCTAGGACACCCGTAAGAATGAATATTCTCAATAGCAAATGATCCCCAAGCCAGGTTCCCACCAACTATTAGCTTACAGTGAAATATTGTATCACCTTTATATACAACATGATCTTATGGAAAATGTATGCATGGTGGTAGGGAGCTCATCACATGTAAACAGGCTGAAAATTATAACACCCTCTTTGTGTTGCCAGGAGGATCTGTGCAGTGTTAAGTCTTTAGAGGTTTCAGCCGGGGCTCTTACAGCCACACCTGACGTTTTGTGTTCACCTTTGTTGTTTAAGATTCCGCTTAAGTGGTACCAATGATGGCCCTATCCACTGCTCCATGAGAAACCAAGCTGAACTTGGTGATAGTGGTGGGAGGCTGTTAAAACACCAATATCTTCAGAGTCTTCTTTTGGGCAATGCTTGTTGGAGATATCCATTCCCATCTCTAGTCCACACAGTATTAGCGTAGCTGTGGTGTCGTGAGAGCTTTCATAAATAACAGCAGATGCCTGATGGTGTGGACAGAATGACAATGGCTGGTTGAGGGGCATGTCTGCTCTTTGAAGTCTTATATTCTTGGGGGCTTCACCTTTTAGCCAGTACTGGGACTCATTTGATGGCAGCTTCGGTCTAGTGTAAACCACAAAGGCAAGACCCAGAGCTAGACAGAGTAATACACATTCAACATTATTAGGGGAAAAGCAAATTAAGGCCTACTCAAATTAAATGAAACTGGAAAAAGATAATCTGCCTCTTGATAGAAGCAGGCGGGGTAAATCATCTGCAGTCCCCTTGGGAGTCAGTGTTAAGCGCGCATTCATTTACCAGGTATCTCTGGAACACCTGCCTTAAACACTGCCCTAGGTGGAAACAAAAGACCAGGTCCATCCTCGTCTGGAGTCTTCCTTGCTGGTGGTGGAACATAACCAATACCCAACAATTACATATATCCTTGTAAACAGCGACGCATGATAATCATAAATATGAAGATTTATGGGTGCCACTGCCTTTAGAAGGAGGAGAGGAATTCATAGGTCTGTGATCTGAGCAGGAAATAACCAGAGCAGTACATGTGTGGCCAGACACAATGGTGAGCTGCTTTGCCAGGGAAACAAAAATCCACATGTGCCAGGAGGATGTCACTTATACACAGAGACTGTTTCCCAGATCCTTCTCCAAGTAGAATGTCCTGCCCCATCTGCGCTTTAAGTTAGCTGGTTGGATTTGGTATTTGACATATAGACCTCTTAACAGATTGCGTTATGAGGTGGAGAGAGTTGTCTGGGAACGTGAATCATTTAAAGTTAACCCATAATCGTTTTCTCCCCCAGAAAGTGATAATAGAGTGAAGGTATACGTGCTCGCATGCAGGCTCGTATTTGAAAAACTTTCTCATAATGTACTCAACAAATGAGAAAAATGTAAGTGAAAGCTGCAGAAACTTATCATGTGTTGGTCAGGGTTCTCTAAAGGAACAGAATTGATATGATGAGGGCGCATTAAAGGGGTTTATTAGACGGGCTTCCTGGATGAGGTCTGAGTAGTCCAACATTGTTGTCTCACACTGGGGAACTGAGAATCTTGAAGTTGTTCAGTCATTGAGGCTGGGTATCTCAGCACTCCCAGCCTGGTACTGACAGCCTGGAGGGTCCCTGGGAGCTTCTGAACTTCAGTCTACACTGGAAGGCTGAAGAAGTTGCCTCTGAGACCAGAAAAGGGATGCTGCAGCAGCAGAGTAGATGGACTTCCTGACCAGAAGGCGAGCAGGTCGAGCAGAATTTTCTTCTCTACCTCCTTTTATCTGGGCTTCCATTAGAAGCTGCTGTGGTCTGGGTGTGGTCCTTGCTTCCAGAAATCTGACTGAGGAAATTCATCACAGGAGAGCACAGCTGCTTGGGGTTTAGCTGTTTCCAGATTCGGTTAGGTTGACCACCTAACTGACGATTGCCACCATGGCAGGATATTAAATTAAAAACAATATTTAAAAAGCTAAACAAATAAATGGCTTTCCCTGTGTGTTCTAATCATGAGTGCTTTTAACAGAGTCAAAAGGATTTAGTGGGGTTTTTTTTGAGCACGTGTACAATATATAATTCTTTTTTATTGATTTATTATTTGTTACAATTTATTCACTTGTATTCCAGCTGTAGCCCTTTCCCCCATCTCCTCCCAGTCCCATCCACCCTCCCTTTTCTCCCCCTATGGCCCTCCCCTAGCCCACTAATAGGGGAGGTCCTTCTACCCTACTATTTGACCCTACCATATCAGGTCTCATCAGGACTGACTTCATTATCTTCCTCTGTGGCCTGGCAAGGCTGTCCTCCTCAGAAGGCAGAGGTGATCAAAGAGCCAGCCACTGAGACCATGTCAAAGACAGCTCCTGTTCCCCTTACTAGGGAACCCACTTAGAGTCTGAGTCTATGGGCTTCCTCTGAGCAGAGTGTTTAGGTCCTCTCCATGCATGGTTCTTGATTGGACTATTGGTCTCTGTAGGCCCCCTCTGCCCAAATAATTTTGGCTCTGTTGGACTCC